CCACCCACCCACCACTCCAGGCTGTGCCTTGGCTGTAGCTCAGTGGCACCACACCTGCCTGTGAATTCAATTCCCAGTACTGCAAAAAAATAAATACTAAAATAAATTAATTAAATTAAATTAAAAGACCTCCAAGATTGTTTTGCCCCTCAGGCTTGAGCTGCTGTCCCACCCAGCTGGAACGCCTGCCCCCTCCCAGGCTGGCTGGGATACAACTTCTCTGTTAGACAAGAAGGTGTACACTCAGTGAGCTAGTGGCTAGCAGACTCCTGCAGAGCCACAGAAAGCCCCAGCTGGCCTCCAGGTGGCCGCAGAAGTACAATTTGACTGAGCAGGAGGGACGCCACCGACAGGTCACAGGAAATCACTGTATCATCATCACCATCAAAGCAACGTACTGACAACTTGCCGCGGCGTGTGTTTCACACCCTTCATGTCATGTCAGCCCGTGAGTTCATGTGGGCACTGCTCCCATTTCTCACAGAGGAGGAAACTGAGGCTCGCAGAAGTTAAACAGCCTTCCCCAGGTCCTGGCACACTGCACTGAGGTGCAGGCAGGCTAAAGCGTACTAATAAATGGCTTTTTGACTATTTGGACTTTGGATTATTTTCCCCTCTATCACATATGTTGCTCTATAAACTGAACACATAAAATCTTTTCATGTTTATGTTTCCAAGCCAGTTAGTCGTTCTGTGGTGGGAATCGTTCTGTGGTGGGACTCGTTCTGCTTTGGCATTTAAACTGTTTCATCAAACTGCAGCTCCTCTGAGTTTTGTCACTCACGAAATAAAAGAAACAAAGTTCTGGTCTCAGGCCTGGCACCCCTCCCTGCTGGGAAGAGCATACCCCTTCTTAGGTGGGCCACTAATCGTTCCTCCCCTAACTGAGTGGAGGGGGAAGTTGTCAGTCATAATACCCCTGCCCAACCACAGAAACAAACACAGGACCCAATCAGAGTCAGCCAATCAGAGTCCTTCCCAAAGTTTTCCAACTGGACATGAAGAGAAAATGCTCTGTGCAACTCTGCTGGCAAATCTATTAGTGGCTTTCTCAGAGCTGGACTTAGCTTGAGCATCAAAAACCCATTAAACAAGACAACAGTTTATCTTGCAAGGCCAGTTCAAGGATCACCTTATTATAAACAGCTAAGTCAGGATTGGGCCCTCAAGGAAGTCACAAAATAATAAAGACATCAGAATTGTGACTGGAGGTGACTCTGAACAGAGTCAGGCCTCAGGCCGGACACGCAATAGTGAGGACTTGGAGGCTCCCTCAGGAGCAACGTGAGATTATACTATGATTTGTACCACCTGGTCCCGTAAGTCCAGATAGGTACCAGACATCCAGGTAGGAGACCAGAACATCTGGACCCATTCCTTTCCCCCCAAATGCCATTGTTCTTTCCATGTTGGAAGTTATAGGTAAGCTAAAGTTAATGATGCTCACCACGTACCGTACCCTTGCTACGTGCCTCCTTCCCTACTGGATCAATATCAAGGAAGCAGCTATCCCTGTGATCCTACAGGTGACTGTATCTTAACCCATGTCGTAACCATGTTGTCACTTTGCTGTATAAATTACTCCCTACAAAGGGCTTCAATGACCTCTTACTCGGGATTCCTCCTAGAAATCCAGGAGCTGTTCATCTTCTCCTTATTTCCAATGAAACTCTCCCAACTTCCTCCCTTGGTTTGTGAGACCACAAACTCAGCACATCTGACATCTAACAGGTTGGAGTTATGTTTCTCCTATATCAGCCTCAGTGCCCCATTCATATCTACCCTCACCCGTGAGGCACGTTCCCAAGTCATCCTCCTGCATGCGCTCACCACCCTCCTCAGAGGGCTTCACTCAGTCCACACACACGGCACACTTGACAGCCTGCAACCAGTGATGAACAGAACCTGAAGGACAAGTGCCTCAGCCTCCTAAGTCTCAGGAGTAGGATCATTGCGA